TGCGTGGAGGCCGCAGCCCTCCCCTACTGCTTCTGCTGCCCTTGCTGGGAGATGCCAGAGTCCAGAAGCTCCGGCTCCAGCAAGAGACCACAACCCTCTGAAAAACAAATCTCTTGATTAAGCAGCTGCCTCCTGAAAGCAGCAGGGATAAGCGTGCAGTGCGACAGGTTGTTCTTCACACACTTCACATTAGACTGCCTAGGCTTCAGCAGCTCCAGCCCCTCATTCACACAAGCATCCAGGAAAGCCCTGAGCAGATGTCGAAATAGAAAGTCCCTTACACAGATCCAGTAGTAAGTAACAGAAATGCTTTCAGCCTGGCTCACCAAGAGAAAACTGCACTAAGATTTCTTTAGATTATGAAATTTTTTTTCACCTTAAACCTGTTGCAGACTTTCCTTCCCTAATCACTTCATCAAGCTTATCTTTGACTTCTTCCTAATCTTTTTTTCATTCCTAATCCCCATCCTCTGATGGAGAAGGTTGAGGAACCGTTTTGTTTGGATATAGTGTCCCTTTTTCTTGCTTTGTCTGTCCTTTGTTTCTCAGGTTTTTGAGGAGAAGACTGTGACCTCCTATGCACGTGGCACAGCAAGGGCTTTGTGGGTCATCATTTTTGTTTATTTGTACTACCTGATCTTAACTTTAGATTTTAGCTTGGGGGTTAGAATATTTTTTAATTGGTGTCCCAGTTAAATCAGTTTGCAGTAGAGATTAGGCTCACTTCAGGGCAGAATTATTTTAGAAACATGTTCAAAAATCATATTATAATGCAAGTTTGTATCCTGTCTCAGCAATTCCCCAGGCCATATATAAACCCTGGCACTGCAGCTCACTTCCTTATCTCAACTCGTTCTGTGCAAACTTGTATCAACTGCTCATGCCTTCTGCATGGTACTATTCCATTTGCCCTTTCTCTTTGGGATTTTGTGTAAGATTAGCTCTTCTCTCCAATAACCAGATTGCCATCTAACATTAAATTCTATTCACTGTACATTTATATTTTTTCTCTTTTATCTCTCTTCTCTTCATCACTTTTGCTCAATCTACAGTCTAAAACCAGCTTGTATTATTTCTTATTCCCCAGTACTGTTGAGCCAAGGCATCTGTTCCAGCCTACAACAGTTAACAGAATTGCAAACCAGATTCTGAGTGATGATATATAACATAGAGAGGACTCTGTGTAATTCTGATTTAACTTTCATTTTGCACACCAGCTAACTACAAAAAAAAAAAAAAGAAAGAAAAAAAAACCACCTGAAAAATCAAACAAAACCCTAGCTCTAATGCTTTGCTTGTCAATGAAGCAGATTTGATTGGAAGTAACTCAGAAAAAGGGAGCTGTATTTAATGATTTTATAGACCTTTTTCAAAGTAAAAGCTTAGCTTAAATGTGCTTTGTGAGTTAATCTGGAGGACATTATCTCACAATAAATCTACTGAATTCCATATAATTTTCCTAAATTCAGTGTTTAATTTCTGTGGTGTTTTGCCTGTATGACCTCTGATATTCTTTCATTGATCTATCTTTTAAACATTTTCTTTTGTATCTCTTATCTAGGAAAGCAAGGAAGAAAATGCAGCAACAGGGGTATAGTATATTTGGACATTTTGCTTTCATCTTTTACTTGTGTGCATTTAATTTCTTTTCAGTCTCATTGCTTCACTCAAAAGATAGTAAATTCTCATTCATGAAACTAAATATACTAGTATTATATTCTGCTAGAGAAAATTATTGGTCATATCATAGTCTTATTGTTTGGGAGAAAAGATAGGCCTTTAATCCTTAGAAACTGCAAATGGAAGAGAAACTGTCTTTCACAGATTCTTTAATAAAATTTGCCATGAACTCCCAAGACAACTATATCTTTCACAATCGCTAACTGACACCATGCTGATTATATTTTCAGTGTTGTGAGTGTGAAAGAGTCATTCTGACAATTTAGGCACTTCTGCCTATAAAGGAAATACTTTCCTTGCCAGAATTTGTAAGACCCAGGTGCAAATCCTTATACACTTTTCTGCTTCGCCCAGCATTGCAAGTTTAAGCCTTGAATATTTCTTCAGTGTTCCCAGTAAAACTAATGATTACTTTAGGCTATTTTCCGCTACAAACCTGCAATTAATAAGAGGACACACTCACATCTTCCCACTTCCAAACTTCAATACATGCATATATACATGTGTATATATACACATGCCCTCTGTGTGAGTTATGCATTGTGGACGTGGCAGCTGAAATGGAGCTCCTGGGCCCATGGGCAAAGCGTGGGGGCTCCTGGTGAGGCTGGTGAGGGCTGTTAAGGCTGGTTAGTGCACCCTGGCACCACTAACTAATGCTTCAAGCAAGAAAAATACCCATTTTTTTCTGTAAAAGGTAATTGAATTTTGAACTGAAGTTGTTAATATCTGAAAGACGTTGCTTGTCTGTGGGCTTGCCTGGCCCTGTTTCAAAGAATGCTAATGAAAGGCACCTTTCCTGGGGGAAGATGCCAAATGAGGCAATATTTGGCAGGAGAACTTCTAATCCAGCTGACCTGTGCAGACGTTCGTGTTACGTTTCTGGTTTTGCAGGGATGATCCCTTAGTGCGGTGGTTTTCCCTGTAAAACAATGATTCAGACTAGGAATCCGATTACAACAGGTCCATTCCCAAGCTAATGTTTAAGCAGGTTTTTACTTCAGTGACTCAGATGTGACTCTCATACAGACAGTATGTGTCTGAGAGGAAAACCTAAGGTCTGTGCCACTCATATACTACCTGCAGTCCTGACTGAAAACTAATCATGTATTCTTTGATTGGTTGATTACGCCAGGAAGAAATTCCCATAATTTTTGTAGTCTAGGTAGTATATGAAAGTATGACATTTTGAGATAAAGCTTGTTTATACACACAGATGGAGTGCCTTTGAACAAGAGTTTGCTGGAAGAGAAGGAGCAGAGAAGCCTACAATGCCATTTGCAGTTGTTTTTCAGAGCAGGAATACACTTTAAAGCTTCATTTACTAGCTCTTAAACGACAATAAACACAGATTATTGTCTGTGTTACATAAATGCTGGCTTTCAGATAACTGTTCATTTGGTTGACTGAAAGAAAGGGCTATTGCCTTTAAATTGTGCCATTTCTTTATAAAGAGAGAAATAAGAAATTTTGAAACAGAAACAAGGCTGTATTATCTGACTCCAAATTATTTTTAGATTATTCAGAAGTCTAGTTCCTGTGCCATGAATCTTGACTTGTTTACCGCTCCAAGCAAACATATAATTAAAAATACTAAACTTTTGGTCATATTTACATATATCCCATATTCCCATTTTGATCCTGAACATCTATTTGCAGCTTAACCATGTACTGTGTTCTAAGCTCTCTAAGAAGAGGGCTCCTGTATTCCAGCACTTGCCTATTAACTCCACAAAGCTAGAGCCCTGGCATGTTAAGATTAAAAGCTCTATACATTACTCCCCTGTTCTATTTTTTAAGCTTTAATAATATTGCATTTACTAGAAACATAACAGTTGCAGGCAGAGCTCTGCATTTCAAGACTGTTTATTTTTCCTTCATTTTCTACATTATAACTACAACTATTTTCTATAAAAAAAGGAAGAAGAAGAAAAGCAGGAAGAGGAAGAAGAAAAGGAAGAGGTGGAGGAGCAAGAAGAGTCTTAGTACACTTCCCTATGACATAGTCTTTCTTGAACAGGTTTTCAGGTAACTATTAAGATACCCAGCACAGTTTCTAAATGTTCTTGAAGTAACACAAAATTGAAAATTGTGTACGTATTGTTGTGATATGCAATGACAAGACTGGAAAGAATGTACTGACACCAAAAAAGTTATTATGTGTTTGACACATAATGTTTAGTCAGAAATATTGCCCTTAATGAGTTTGTTAGTTTTCCCCATTTCTGTGCCACCAATGAAGCTGACTTTCCTACACAGGAAGCTGAATTTCCTGTCTCTGTAATCCCTAAAATCCACCAGATACTGCAGGCCCCTTGAGCCATTCCCCATCGCTCTTACAACCTTCACCTCCCTGCCAGGCTTCTGACATCTACTTTGGGCTTATTCCTTAGCATCTTCCCATGGTACCCCCTAGCTCTCTGCTGTGACCCCTAAGTATGAACAATGCAAAGTCAGCATGCTAGGTGTGTAGTGCATGAGTAGTCAGTACATATGCACAAAGTGCCCAACTGCTGGGCCAAAAGTACCCTTAACTGTTAGATGCATTGTGGCTTCTCTTTCATCTGGGATAGGAATTTGTCCCTCTCCTCTCTTACTCAGCTACTGATTTCACTGAAACTTCTAAGAGCTTCATGTCTCAAATGAAGCCCTTTCTCAAATTCAGTTAAAATGTTAAAAAAAAAAAAAAATACTGGGGAAGGGAGAGGAGCCTAACCAGAAATATGACCAGAAAAATTACTCTGATTTCCTTAGGAACTAGGCCAAATGTGACTTTAAAACCTCAAACCAGGAGGCATCTGGGAGGCAGAATTTGTGCCTGTATAGGTGTATGTTTTGTCAGCATGTGATTTCAAATTTAATTTTTGGCTTTTCTTCTTCCTACTACTGTTTCTTCTCCTCTGCATGGAAATAAAGATCAAACAGTCACTTGTTAGGGAAAAAAGGTTAACCTACAAGAAAGTTGGAATTTCCAGCAGATTTTTCCTTGGGTGGTGGGACACCCTTCTGACTGCAGACACAGGGTGTGATATGCTCTTTCTAGAACTAGGGGGATTCCCAGCTAACTCTTCCTCTGAGGTAGTTGCCATAGGTTTTACCAACCGTACACTGATATGGAGACACAGTGCTTCAACAGGACAGAAAATCTATCACTTATTTCATGCTACTTCTCCCAAATCTGGGTTCCTCTGTTGCATGGGAATTAATTCATCCCAATGTTGTCCAATGTTCAGACATGTAAAATCGCAGAAGGAGTGCTAAGTTCTAATCTAGTTTTCCTTATTTTTGTTCAGGAAGCACAAGTTGGAGCAGCCCCGCCAAAGAAAATAAAATCACTCTCTCAAGCAAACCATCACTATGTTTCATGTCTGTAGATATATGAACATATAAATACATAACAGAACAAAGACACCACTCTGTCCTACCTGTGGCCTTTATATATATATTTGGTATTCCAGTTGCTTGTTAAAATGGGTCTTCTTATATCTGACTGATGATATTTCAGTTGATTGTTATATGTTGGAATAGTATTGTCCATGTCGCATTTTAGATTGTAAGCTACTCAGGGCAGGAACCATGTTTTTCTCCATGTTTATCTACTGCCAAACACATTGCTGCCACTCAGCACATAACTGCACTCACACAAGTGATGTATTCAGAGAAAAATTCAGCACTGAAAACTGTAAAGAGGCTTCCTGTATACAAGCTATGTGAGTCACTTCTCCCTCAGCTGGCTTTTGAAAATGATTGAGATTTCCATTGTACAGCAGTTTAAATAAATGCATTTTCTGTCATATCTGTTCTTTGTCTGCAAAAGCATTAATTTAACTCTAGCAAGCTGCGCTAAGATCTGTAAGGCTAAGTTTTCCCCATCATTGTGGTTGTAGGCTATACAAAGTCCTTCACCTTGCCTTATGTTCCAGTTGTGTATAAGACCCCAACCATGAGGATACACAATCTGCTTCAATGCTTCTTTCCTTCAATGGAAAGAGATGTCCCAGTCCCTTCTACTGAAGCCTTGTCGGTCTTCATGGATACATCTCTATTCACTGGGCCAGGGAGGCAGAGAAAATTAATCCACGTTCATGCTGTAACTGGTGGTTAGAAGTTCACTGAGGAAGATGGAGCTTGGATTTCAGTCACTTGTCCAATTACTTTTTATGAGATTTATAAAAACTGCTTGTAGAGGAATGGAGGAGATAAGAAATGCTTATTGCCAAAGTAGCCCATAGCTTCACAGACAAAACAATCTCCAAAGGAACCACAAGTTTATGTTTAACTCTGATGAAGAACAGGCTGGCTTTTCAAGCTGAGATCTCTTACACTGTGAGTGCTTAAAAAATAACTGAACAAATAAAGTGGAAGAAAAATTTGTGGAGGTTTTCTGAATGTCCTGAGTGGGTACATATTTTTGTTCAGGATACATCTAAAGCTGCAATTGTTGGGATGGGGAAGCAGTGCTCTCTCTGTCTGCACTGTTCTTACGCTTCTAGGTGATGCTGAGCTCAGAGCTGGCAGGTCCAGCTGAGGGAAGGACATTGGAGACCTCATTTACAGCTCACCAAAATCATCAGCTCAACATGCAGCAGCAGCCAAGACCCAGGAAAATGCTGGGCACCATCAGGAAGACGGCAAGACTTTGCTGCCATATAAAGCCTTGCTGAGCTGACATCTTGAGCACTTTGTGCACTCTGGTCTCTGCATCTCAGGGAAGACGTAGTGGCTAAGAAGAGGTACAGAGAAAACAACAATTAGAGAGGATGAAACAGCTGCTCAATAAGGAGACTGAAAAGACTCTTCAATTTGGAGAGGAAGCCAAGGCATTTACAAAAATCATAAAGGCAGTAAGATGAATGCAGAACTGTTAAGCAAAAAATCCTACAATACTGTAATGAAAATTAGTATACACAGTACACACACTGAAATTAGTAGATCAAAGCCGTAAGACAAATGCAGAACTGGTAGGCAAAAAATCCTGCAATGCTATAATGAAAATTAGTATACACAGTTAGTGCACACACTGAAATGAGTAGATCAGCTTAAAAGAGAGTACTTTTTATATGCTGGGTTGGGAACTTCTGGAATTTGTTGTCACAGGATGTTATGGAGACCAGAATGTCAACAGGCTCAAGAAGGTATTGGGCAATGTCAGGAACAGGAGGCTCGTGAGTGGATACTACAGCCTGGGATGTGTCCACCAATATCCCTCATCCAAGGAATTGTGGGTGCTGGGGACTCGGGGCACAAGAAACTGAATGCAGCGGACTTGGTCTCCCTAAATAGCATTGCCCATTTCCACTTTCAAAGACACAGTACCGGGTTAGGTGAGCCACTGATCTGACCATTTCTTATGTTCCTGCAGGTGATTAGTCTTCCTGGGGAAAATGCTCCCCATTTCACCAGCAGCCGAATTGGGGTGCCAGTCATCGCTGCAGTAGTTCTGAGCAAAAAGCTGGTCTTTTGGGAGTATGGTAGACAGAATGAAAACAGACCTGTTAATCACTTCGGAAATGCAGTAAATCCAACACAGTGAGCGTGTGTTGTGCAACAGTGGGCATGTTTCTGGTAGTGTTGACGTGTCCCTGGGCAATCGGGGCTTTGTACTGCTGATGAACCACAAGTGCCACTTTTCCCCCCACCTGTATGCAGAAGGTACAAAGAGCCTGAGTGTACTCAATAGATCAAGCAGGCCCAAAGGCTTTGGGCTTGAAACAAAAACACCACACCTTGCATATTCAGGTATTACTTGTTACGGCAGGTATCTTCTCGAGGGGGTATAACGTGGAAAGCCTTCCAGGGAATGTGAGGAATGCTAAGCCTCCCGTACAGGAGCGACACACTCCCCTGGTCTTCAGCTGGTGACTAAGGTTATGCTCAGTGCATAGTCAAAAACAGACGGGATAGCGGATGGTCGCACTCACAACACAGCTCTTTGGTGCGTTCCTTGGGATAATGCTCTTTAGCATGTGCTGATCATCTTTTCTGCCAGAAGAAAAGGAGGTTGTGAGTATGCAAAGGATAAACTGAAAGCTGACTGCTGCTCGGTGATTTTAGCCTTAACACTAATTCTGCTTACATAAGCTTAATACTTTCTGCAGTAATTTAGTGCAACTAGGAAAAGAATTAAGTCTTTTCTAACTACAGTACAGTAGCATAAATACGTGAACTATTGACTTAAATACGTTTGAAAGCATACTGTCTGCATTTTCATATCACTTATTTTTTACTGGGAGAAAGCAACTGCAGTCGTTTAACAGGGCACGCCTGGTACATGGTGTTTCACATGCTTCAGGAAACCGTGGATGCAAAATCATCCCGGTGCACCACAGTTAAATACAAAACAGCGTGCTGCTTTTTGTGACACTTTGGTATGTAAAGTATTTTCCTTGGATGAATGATGCTAGAAACTTCTAGTATACTGAAATGTCGTGGTTTAGCCCCAGCCAGCAACTAAGCACCAC